AGCAGCCTTCCACGCGATCCTGCGCCCCACAGACAGACTGACCGACCGCAAGGACCACGTACCCCCCACCCACGCCCCGGCCTCCCTCTCTCCCTCACTCTCTCCGGACTCCTCTTTCTCCTGGTGTTCTCAGAGCAGGAAAAAAAAAAAAAAAAAAAAAAAAAAATTTAAGTTTTAGAACCAAAGGCTGCTGGAAAGGGGGGGAGGGGAGGGGAGACAGAAAAAACTCAACTTTGCCTTTGCGCATGCGTGCTGAGGCCGACCTATGACAAACTCTGCAGGATTTTAAAGCCGTACCACGAGCTGGGGTGCAGTGGGGCGGGATACACTCCCTGCTCGATCCCCCTGCTTTTGGCTCCCCATCCGCCAGGCATCTGCTGAAGGAGAGAGGTCCACTCCGCAGCCGCTGCCTGACCGCCGCCCGGCCCTCTGCTCTCCTTCCCAAACCTCCTACCCAATGGAAGCTGAACCCCAACTTCAGCCTGGACCCCTTGGCTCACCTGTCCAAGGCCGCTCGCACTGGGGCTGCACAGGGGCTGTCGCCATGACACGGAATCTCTAGGAGGGCCTCCTTCCCATTCTTAACCTTGGGGGAGGGTCCCTAAGCCCGTGGGCTGGAGAAGACGACAGGCGCACACATCCTGCACCGCCCCCAGTGTAGTAGATTTGGGTAGTGGGGTGCACGACTGAGCACCTGGCTGCGACCCAACGCATCCAGAAGCGACCCGTGATCCTGCCGGGTTGGATCTTGGCTGGTCCCCTCAGGTGAAAAGGCTGCGAAGTTCGGCAAAACCAGGTTCTGCAGGGCACTGCAACTTGCAGGCACTTCCAGACACCTGTGGTTTTGGGGGACCCCGATTGGGCGGGGTTGGTGGACGTGTGACCCCTACCTCCCGCACGCCAGGGGCGCCACCCACCAACAGTGGTTCACATTGGAGTGCAGTTCTTGTTCTCAGCCCTCCCCATCCTCAACCCAAGGTGGAAGACACACACACACACACACACACACACACACACACACACTGGATTCAATTTCTGCCATACATCTGGCATGCCCTTGACCTTAAAGCACAAAACCCTTGCCCTGGGTACTTGGGGCAGTGGCTGTTTCATTCTTTCCATCCCCCACTCCCATCTCTGGCTGACCACCCCAAGGCGATGCTGCCCCACCCTCTGCAAGTCCCTTCCTGACCCTTACTTGTCCCAGTTGCCTGTACCCCTCCGGGGTCCTGGCCTTTGCTGGGCACACCAGAATGGCAGTGTGGGCTTCCCACAAACTACTGCAAGAGAAGCCCTGGCTTCCTCCCAGGACGATTTCTTTCACCAGGGGCGCATGCAGACTTAAGAAGGGGGAACCCAACTTTATCATAGATGCCCTTGGGACATCTCGCATTCACCCGAATCCCCTCTCCCTTCACATTCTCTAGGCCTTAACCACATAGTGGCTATTTTCCAATTTCTAATCTAGCCTTAGATCTGCCCATGGGAAGGAGGGTCTAAACAAAGAAGGGTCCCCTCCTGGCAAACTGCCCCTGGGCAGGCAGTGTCTCTCCGCAGTTCCCTCCCTCCAGCTCTTTGGCCCAGCGGCTGCAGCCTAGATTCTCCGGGCTGTGGGGAACACACCCTGCTCCTGGGCTGGCACCCCAGCAATGCCCCGCAGCATGGCTTCGGACCCAGTTCACCCACGGAGGCTCTGATAAGTGTCAGGAAGTAAGTTGACTAAGAATAGAGTTCCCAAAGGGGGCTGAGCTGAAGCCCCCCACGTGGGGGGCACCTGAGTGCTGGAGGTAGATGCTTACAAGATCCTATTCTGAGAATTTGCTCCAGAAACACTAGCTACCTAACCACAAACCTTTAAAAAAAAAAAAAAAAAAAAAAGCTATATTCTGAATTATCTGAATAATTGCCTGCTTCTCTCTAATTGCCTTTGTTAGTTAGCCTTTGTTAGCCCCAAGAGTTTTATTTCCTGCTTTGCTGTCTTTCCTCTAGTGGGAACTGGTGCTAGGTTATGGTTGAGTGTAAACTCTGCAGTCTGGAGTTCCAGTCCCAGATCTGC